AAACGAAACTGACGTGGTAAAGTGACGCTGCCCGCACGATAGATCGGTATTTTAAACACGGGAGTAGAAAATATTTTGACAATGCTATCGTACTTTCTCGATTTATTGGCATATGCAAATTGCAACTAACAGAAGACACGAGCATTTCAGGATTTTGCTAAAAATACCTTACCTAGGCTTGTTTGAAGAGAAAAAGATTTTAGTTTATTATAATTAGTGGTATTTGTGGAGGTATTACTAGAATTACTGAGGAATTGCATTAGTCGAGGAATTGGTAGTAACAGTCGAGGTATTAGTTGTATTAGCTAAGGATTTTGAGGTGTTTGTCGAGAAACAAAAAAAGAAAACAATTTTTTTTCTTAGCGTCAAAAATGGTTTTGGAAAGCTTATAGCTCACTCAATAAGTAACGGTCTTTATTAGAAGTAAGTTCTAAAATTGGATTATTTTTGGGATATTTGTCTGACTTATCGTAAAATCAAAAGTTTAATTGATTGAACTGCAATACTGAGATGTACCATCCTTTCAAACAGCTAAGTTATTATTTCACCCGAGACTACAACTTATATTTTTACACATATATTTTTATAGGTTTGATCATTTGACGGAATTTTAAAACAGTATAATTATTGTCGCGCGACTGTTCAAAAAATATCAATTTTTTTGAATGATTTCGATGGTTTAATATTTGTTAATTGTTCGTCTTCCTAATAACTATTTTTTATTTTTCGTCTTGGTGTTATTTCGTAATTTAGCTGACTATAAGCGTACTGTAAATGTTAAAATATTGATGTTTGTTTGTCACAAAAATAAAAAATAACATACCAAAAATTTGTTTCTATTTGTTTAAAAAATAAACAAGTTATTTGAACAAAAAAATTGAAAATTAGAGGGATTACTAGGACAGTGTACAGATTTTTGATCGCGGTTTACCTCTCGATTATAAAAAACTACATTTGCGTTCGATGGATAAGAAAACTAGCTGCTGATGATTATGTCCAAATTGACTTTCTCTATGAAAAAAGTAGAGCAAAACCAAGCCAAAAAAAATTATTCAAAGAAAACAAACTATGTTAATAACAGGCAGAAAACAAGTATTTCTCAGTTTTAAAAACAATTGGTAAAAATAACACGCTTATATTAATCGTGTGTTGGGAAAGGCCATTCCGGCATATATTAGTCCGGATTTCACAAAATTACCTTAACGCATTTGTAACCATCCGGGCATGAACACAAACACCTTAAAAAGTTGACATTCAACTTTATGCCTATATTAAGAAGTACTGCCTATCCTTCGTTCTTCATTTACGCAGGCCCGCATACAGGACCGTAGTAAAAGGAAATTACAAAAAACAACAACGAAGTGAATACTAAACACCACCGACACAGTTATAGACTATATTTTTTATTTAAAATTAGCATGATAAAAAAATCAACAACTTCACCTTTTTTAACTATTTCAAAAATAAATATTTTGTCCTCGAGGTTGTCGGTGTTTGGTTTATCCGCTTTTTAAATAACTTGAGTATATTATTCAAAAATAGAAATTACCATGAACCATTGCCTCAGAACACAAAACGTTGTTTATAAGTTTTGATGGCACCTTGACAGATACTAATAGTATAACGACAATGAATTTTAGAAACATTATTTACTTATAATATGAACGAAATATCGATAAATTATATATATTTTTGAAGTCGTGTTAACAGGAGGTCGTTTCAAGAAAAAATATACAAATAAGTTAAGTTGTTCATATTTTGTGTGACAATTCGTATACAGGCAATAAAATTCAAAACCAATATGAATACCACCTTGATAATGGATTATATTTTAAAAGAGATGCCAGCAAGACTTGTTTTCAAATTAAAGGATTCCATAGTCAGTCTCTAAAATTAGTGTGAAAGCAGGAAAATTTAAAGTGGTTCAATTAAACTCACCACTGCAGCAGAACTAACGGTTTATAAATTGAAAGGAAATTATATAAAACTCATAAGGTTGTGAAAACCACCAAGGAAAAATGGTTTAAAAAAACTTTGAGAAAACCCTCAGACATTTAAGGAAGAGGACAGTTTCAGTTAAGCTCTAAAAAAGTCAACATAATGGATAACGAAACGTCAGCAAGTTCAATTTATCAACAATCAAAACAGGAGGAATTCAGTAAATTTGTAAATAGTATTACAGTAGGCTGTGGAAGTTTCTATGAAAAAAAGAAATATACATATTTATTATCTCTGAGTTCGGACTAAGAATTATCAGATGACACCCTGCTATAATAACTAGACAACTGTGTGCTAACATGATCCAAGTCCGTCCCTTACCTACATCATTAACGCATACCTACTAAATACGTACCGCATCCCGCCTTGCAAAGAAAAAGTAAATTTCACCGAAACGCACACAAAGGTATGTAATTCAATTATCGGAAAAAAGAAATTCTACCCGGATAATAGACAACCGGATCGACATTGAATGTTTTATGTTCATCAGACTTTCTACTAGTAATTTATTTAATTTAACATTAATTACTAGCATAGCACCACTAAATTTACTCCGATTCTATTGTTTCGATCGGATGTATTATTAACTCACAACACCCTTGGCAAAGAAAGTGACCGATCGTTGGCAATGTATAAAAAAATGATTATATACTTCTCATTATTTCTACCTATTACTATTTTTTAATGAAAAGTATCTCCATCGTTGACCTGCTTGTTGGCGAATCATTATTACTACACAAAATAATAATGGCAAAAACTAAGGGAAAAAAAATTAACTCTTTGGTCGTTAATCGGACAACGAGAGTATTCATCGATCAACAATGACGTCAGCAGAAAATAAACTTAATAACAATGCGGTAATGCTAAGTTATGCCATATAAACCTCAATATAAACAGAAATCGTTCAGCAAAACTAATCAACTTCTGACTCGATTTTTGATAGGACAAAAACAATCAAAGCTGTGCTATTAGGTATAACACAAGGAAAATTTTAATGAAAAAAGTTATTTCTTTTTCATTTTACTACAAATGTGCCAATTTTCAATAAAATCCAAAAAATATGGTTTTTTCAAGTTTTTCCATCAACCCTTTTACTTGCGCCCTTGCGCCCATACCAATTCTTAATTGACGGCGGAAAGTGAAGTAATGTGTGAATTTCGTCTATTATGGGGTATTGGTATTCGACCAAGCTCCATGATGGCTAACACTCTTTAAACGGCAGAAAAAAAACAATAAGAACGTTAATAAAAATGAAACAAAAAAAAGTGGTCCTAACCTTTCCAGCAATACATATTTATTCAGCAAGCACTTCCGTACACTAAAGAAAATCTATTCTTACAATTTAAACAAATGAACTTCTAAATTCTCTCAATAAAAGTCTTCAACTTTCTTCCACATGGAATTAAAAATATTTCTAAAAACAACGAACGATAACCAATAATAGCATTTCGAATTGCAAACAATGTATGTATATTTTACACTGCGCTTATATTTTTAGGTAATATTCAATATAAATTTAGAAATAGAATAGTTACGCCAGTAGGTCCTATTTCAAACTTAAGTTTTATTCATTTCATTCATTATTCAAACTTTAATCATTTTTTTTATGGGACTGGAAATAGAAAAACAAACAACAAAACATCAATCAATTTATTATTTCGGTTTAACAAAGGCACCATCAAAAAAATGCTAGCCACAAAATACAGCATTGCAATTTTTTACGCAACCACACAATGAAAAAGGCACATACATATTCATCTTCAAATGCAGGTTATTTAAATAACTTAATAAAAAAATGATTATTATCAACAGCAGTGTTGGGTAATGGAAGAATGTATATTTATTTCGGATGTTATTCCTTTTACTTGAAGAAGCATCAAAATCCGACTTACATTTGATAAATATTATTTTATCCACTTTCCGCTTTTTTATAAAGCCTTAAGCAAAGCAAAAATTGTAACCTACAGATCAATGAATATGTACCTATTTTATGTAGATACTTCAAAAGTTACCGATTAACAAAGTCAAAGTAAAATGGTATATTTTGAAAAGAAAAGAAGAAGAGAAGAAAGAAAACTAAAAAGAAGTAGATGGAAAATAGTTGACTATGGTTTACTCAGAAGGATATGGATTTTTTTTTTAATTTTATTTGCATATATTGATTATAGTACAGAAGTTCATTATTAACTTTGTTAATACTTCGACCGACATCGCATTTCAGCTAAGAATAAACAGAAGATTTTCCAAAATGTCTGAATCCCAGGTCTATCAAATGTGAAAAATTCAGGTAAAAACCTACGATACCTATGATAGAATTTTAATTATACTAACAACCACTAAGGACTTAATTGCAACGCTTTGTCAGATATCAAAATGAAGTAAACAAGTGCGCCGCGCACCTATTTGGTAAATTCGAAGGAAGTTTTATCGATTACGTCAAACAACGAGATCTGTACCTACTAACCAAACAAATATATGAACTAAGTTTACTATAAACGAATCAATTTTAAGCCAATTCAGACTGGGCACAGTCCTCGGCATAATAAACAATATAACAAATAAACAATACTCTAGATTAGTCTGGAGAACTAGAAAAAATAATTTTTGTTCGATTTTTTTTTTGTTTTTCAAAACGGTATCGTGAATCAACATTAACATTGTTAGCAACATAAAACAAAATGTGCAATTTTAAAACACACCCGTTTATATTTTTTACCTGTTTTTAGCAGCTTTTCTATTTTAAAAACTCAAGGTCGTTTTGCAACGGTTTGCTTCTCAACGCCGCAAACGCAGATAAGCAATTTGCGCTAAAGCAGCCCTTTTTTAAAAAAACTTATGACGACGCCGATTTCATAATCACTTTAGCCGTCGAAAATATTATAAACACACCTGATGATTAAGATTTTAGTTACGCAATGTCTGACTAAACACATGCTCGGGAAAAGATGGTGGATAAACTATTGGTGGGCTGAAAATTAAATCGCCAATCTAAAAATGCTCACCTGTTCAGATGAGAAATCAAAAACGATTATGTATTGTATCCCAGACGGTTGTAATGATTTAACGATTTTATCGTTAGTCCATAATAAGTAACTCAGAAACACACTAATCGATTATAAATCACAAACTGTTAACTATTCTCGACAGACTGCGATTGACAGTCACAACATCGAACAAACACTTATATCACTAAAGTAATTCAAAAGTAACCGACACAATCAGAAACTGCAATAACGAAATAAAACGAAATTAAAAACCAACTGCCGACTAAGAGCACAGAACTGTTGAGTTCGACGTTCGTTCGGCTCGGCAGCCGTCTAGAAACAGTTGTTCAGTTTTGCTTTTAGTACGCATGCTAATCGCCACGGACAATGGAACAAAAAGAGACAGCTGCAAACGCGTCACGCCGGGGATGTGTGTACTGTGCCAAGCAACAAAGATAATCGCCGGGTCGATGCGTTGCATTGGGTAGGTGCCATAGATAAGAGAGGTGACTTGGCTTTGGTTGGGAAAGTTGTCGCCGCGCTTTGGTTTTTTACCCTTGGCACATTGTTAACCCGCGGTTTTTTGGTTTTTAATTTTGATTATTTTGGTGGGTTTTTATTTTTTTTTTAATTGTTTTAAATTTTGTCGCATTTAATCATTTTCATATTTATCTCGTGGACTTATAAGACAGTAAATATTTTTTTCGCATTTTTTATAATAATAGTATGAATATTGTTCTGATAAACTGTTCAATTTTGTAGATTTTCTTTTCCTACTTTTCTGCAGTACCTTAATGTCAATTTTAAAATGTATTGATTTTGGAGAGACCGCACTTTCACTAAAATTGTCCTTTTGATCGGCAAGTTTTTACACCCAATTCTTCCCTCTCGGAACCTTATACTTTTTACTGTATATCTAAAAAAGGCAATATCTGTGCTATATGAAAGAGAAAGTCCAGAAATTCCTCTATACGGCCAATATACGGGATTAGGTGTATGCAAAAGATTTCCCATAAGATTGAAGATCTCGGGTAGCTTTCTATGATCCATCGGCGTGTTCTCCACAATATTCACCTCATCTTCCTGAAAAACTAAAGTTTCTTACCGATGTTCATAAAATAAGTCTCCGCCGACCTCCTGCTTTAAATATATATTCGTAATTAATGGCTTGATTTACTGATATACTGACGAAAATAATTTACATATTATCCTTTGATATAATCAAACAATATTTTAATTAAATATTTGCAAAAAATAAAATTTATGGTATTATAACTTCTTAAAGAACCGAAATGGTATGTATATGTACTTAGAAATTTCAAATGTTTAACAAATAAAAAAATATATTGAACAGAAAATGTATGTATTTTTTTAAGAGTATTATTTCAAAACAAAAATAAAAATACACAAATAACACACACAACTAAATTAATAGGCAAAGAATACCAAAACATTGATTTATTAAAAACTAAATGTTCTCTTTCCCGATATATACAGAGTGATTACTATTTCAATGGGATTGTATAAGTAATTTTAGCCCTTTAAAGATTCAGGGTCTACTAAATGGGATAAAAGTCGTGTATTTAAATGAATTTACATGAATTTAAATACATTAATTGAAAAAACTTCAAATCATTACTGGTTTTAAATTAAGTAATTTGTTTTAAATAATTCATTTTCATTACTAAACAATATAATTTTTTGAATTTTTTTATTCATATTCTTGACGGTGAACCTCTTCCTGAAGTGTGAAGCAGTAAAACAGTAAATGTCAAATTTGAAGAAAGACCAGATTAAGCCTCAGTGGTATATTCAAAAAATATTGACATAATATTTTAAAAAATGCAACCACTTAGTTCAAAGAAGGACAAACTATTGAAACCATTTTTCAAAGGACCCGTTAACAAATGATTTAACCCCAAAAATCCCAGTCAAGTAGCAAAACTTAGAGCTAATATAAAACAATATCTTATTACCCTTATTTGCCGATACTATTGAAGTTTATGACAAAGAAAATAATACCGATGACTACTTCGTCTCCCTCTAAATAAAAATTGCCTCACAAAATCAATATTGGCCCAGTTTAGGTCGAGTTCACTGTAATTTAGCCGTTTTGTTGGTCTGGTGACTCGTTCTGTGGATAATTTGTTAATTTTACATTTCACCTGAAATCAGTTTATTTCGACAAACACGACGATTAAATGCATAAATTGCATTATTACAAACGTGTTATATAATTACGTCACGCCCATACTGCATAACTTTGGTATTAATAAGACTTCAGTTACAAAACTATAAGACTGGCAAAAATTAATTTGTTATTGCAACGACAGGAAAGTTGTTCTAGATTTGTTGCTTCGCGATTTTTGCTTTTGTTATCTGTTGTTGACAAAAATGTAGGTTGCCATTTGCCGCTGACGTACCTTTGGCTTTGGCAATTACATTACTGATATGAAAAACTTGATATAACACAGGCCTATCCGCGCCCGACATTAAAATAGCATTTAGAACCATGTAGGTCCCTATATTTTAGGACATTCACCTTTGTAGAAGCCCTGGGACCATGGGTTTTCAAGATATAGTGTGTCAAACTTAAAAAAGAATGGTTTTTAATAAATATCCTTAATATCCCTTGACCGATTTTGTTGAAATTTGGTAGTGTCATTTAAAGTGATAAGATATTTAAATTAAAATTCTGAAGTGAAGTGGCTTCCTGGAAGACACGCTATCGAATGTTTTTGTGTGCGCTACAGACATTTTTACTTTTTTTTTTCAAATAAAGCAACTGTCAATAAATTGATTTTTTTTGTCTTCGAAAAAAGAAAATTATTGAACGCTGATTGGCAACAAATTCTAATCGGTTTTTCATTAAGAGAGCTTGTACTGTGACAGTCTTATGCGGAGTGATAAGCTTAGCCACAAATAGAATAAAATTTGTAAGTCTATTGCGTTCAAAAATATCTATGTATGGAGAATCCCCCTTTCAATTATTTGAACGTTATTTCATACAATACATTCATTCATTCATTCATACAATATGATATTCAGTAAGGCTACTACGCTCCAGCACAATGACCGTGATGTGTAATAAGTAGGAAGTCATAAAAAGTAGCAGACAAACATGGCTCTAATCCAAGAACTTTGGAGTACGAGGGGGAAGTTTGGAGGATTTGACGGTAAAAACTATTTACTTTTTCATTTGATGGCCGGCGAGAGACCTATGGCTTGCATGCTCGTGCCGAAGAAGTGGCACGCTGAGATCCTATTGGACCTTTGCACCCAGGATCTAGTATCGGTAAGGCGGAATGGTAAACTAGAAATCTTATGCCGGAAAACTCCAACGAACCGAGGGATTCGCAGCTCTACAGAGAATTTCAAAGAAGGTTCAAAAAATTCATTAAAAAGAGGAAAAAACGTGTTGGAGAAAATTCTGTGGTGACATGAAAGATCTTCCGATAGTCTGTAGGCTGAGGGAGAGCCAGGGAAGAGTAGGAATGAGCTGAGATGCCTGAGGCTGGAATCCGATCAGACTACTCTGCATAACCTGCTTTTCCGGCTCGGTGGTGAACATCGGTTCGACCATTGGAGATGGCAGCCGAGAATCCTAATTGCTGAACGCCTCAGTTCCAAAGGTAAGCTCTTAGAGGAGGAAATTAAAAGAAGCTCAATTTATTCAGCCGTGTTCTTCGAGGGTGCAGGGCTCTTTTACCACAGGAAGCGACGACGTGCGAGTTTAAGGGATCGAAGGTCTGAATGCAGCGGCCTGATCATAAAGGACAGAGACACATAGGAGATAGAATAGAAAGGGTCCCGAATACTAGGTACATAATGTCTAAATTGTATTCTGTCAAAATAAAATGCTTTCCTTTTTACGAGTATCCTACAGGGACTCTTATGGCACACTGTTTTCAGTGTTGGTAGATGGATACCAATAGACAAAGCCCATATGCAAAGGGACTACATACTTAATTTGGTTTTAGTACGCTACACCTTTCTGATATTTTAAGAAACAAAAAAGTAGGAATGTTCCAATAATTGTAGCAATTGTTCTATGTTTGCATTTCTTATTGAATCGGGATTAACATTTTAAAACTCGTCATTAATTGGAATGTTATGAACCATATTTTTTACTATACCCAAAATATAAAAGCCAGAAAATGTCGGGTACGCATGGTGAATGGTTTCTGTTTTAGTGCATGATGAATTGAACGTATATTTCATTTTTTGGACAAAAATGTTCTAACATTCACCATAAATCATAAACAATCTCTAATTATCTTCATTTGTATCGTTTAAGCTCGCCGGCATGAATATTAACAATTTTCAAATGATAACTAATGGCGGTATACACTATTATCTATCACGCTTTCTATATACGCTGTCACAGTTAACTCGGATTAATCGAACGTGTAAGAGCTACAAAATTTATTATAAATGGAAAATGTTTCAGTGGCAATATTTCGGCTTTAGTATTCCACCAAATCAGCAAAATGCCATCTTTGTTGACATGTTGACAGTGTCGAATTTCTGAAATGGCCTCCAGGGCGCGTAATTGCCTTGATTTTTAATAGCCGGTTTCTACCAAATTTTCTATTACTAAAAATTTTAACTTTAATAATGTTGGAGTCGCTAAAACTGCTGTTGCTATGCTATTACTGATGCTTACTTTGCAGTCAGATAGCGGTTTCTGATATAATCTAAAAAAAATGCAACGATATGACAACCAAGTGAGAACCGCATTTTAAAATTTGTATCCTAACCTTAAGTAAGTAGAAAAGTTGAATTTTGGAAAACGTTTTAACTTTACGTGTTGTTGCTAATGCGCTATTATTCCGCATTTGCCAAATAAATCCCTAATCCCAACTGATGTTTTAAATCGAAATAAAATGTTATTTTTCTTTATTACTTTTTCACATCTGAGAATGGCACCAAATTTCCCAGTAGTTCCGACATCCTTACCCGTTTCCAAATATATAATGTCGTCACATATTTCGTCTAATAAAATAGTATTATGCAAAAAGTACGGTAAACGGCATTTTATTCACGACTTTATTTGACACGAGCGAAGCGAGTGTTTAATAAACGAGTGACTTAAAAAGTTTACCGAACGTGTTGCACACTATACTTTTTCTACGACCGTTGGTTTTTGAGTACATTTTCGCAAAACAACAGGAATATATTCACTGACATGATCGTCAGAATTGACAAACGTCAACATTCAAAGCATGGGAAATAATCTCCGACAACATCCGATTGCCCGTGCGGTAAAATTCCGGAAATGTCTGAAGTGGCTTGGATCTGTGGGAAACAAAACTGACGTAGTAAAGTGACGCTTCTCGCATGCTGGAT